GTGAAGGGAAGAAAGAAGAAAGAGAGGAAATCCCCCGCGGGGGGGGGGGGGGGGGGGATGCTTTTTATGACTATATTGCGTTAGCTAAAACTTGTATTCCGTGCATATGAAAAGTATGGGATAATAGTGGCAATACCTCTCTTATATAAGTACATGGATCATTGACACATCGGTATAGGTCATTGATTCATGTACTTATATTTATACACTGGCGTGTAACCATTTTTCTTTTCCTTTCTAAAATTAAAGCCCATCTCTGGACAAACAAAAGTACCTTGTAGCAGGGCAATCCTCACACTGCAGCGGTTAAGTGCTCGTCTATGCCTAGGGGCTGGGGTAAAGCATATTTACTTACCTGGTCACTGCTCCTTCTGCAGTCAATGCTGTCCTCTTGTTCCCCTCCGTGTTCTCACAATCGAATACAGGTCTATAGAACCTGCAATAGATGTGTGAACTTCAGAGAAGTGGCCGTCGGGACTGATCTAGCAGCCCCAAGGGAGCTGGTGGGAGTGGGGATCAGGAAAGTAAATCTGCTTTACTCCAGTCCCCTAGACAAAAATTAACACTTAAAGGAGAACTATGGGGTTAAGTCTTTTCCCCATAGTTCTCCTTAGGGTAACGGGAGGACACAAACTAGCGTCCTCCCGTCACCCCAGGCTCAGTATACCGTGAGCTACAGCTGCACACGGTATACTGAGACGCCGCAGCTGAAGCGGATCCCGACAATTGTGCCGGGATCCGCCCAGCTGCGTGACTGACAGCTGGCTCTGCCTATCTAAAAGCCAGAGCCAGCTGTACCCGCCCCCTCCCGTTCCGCCAGTCAGCGCTGGCAGATAGGAGCAGGGAATCCAGCCCCTCCCCCTGTCACGGCAGAGAGCCGTGACAGGATCCAGAGGTGAGCGATCTACTGAGCCGACCTGTGACAGTCTCATTGTCACAGGTCGGCTAGAACTATGAGGTGAGTGAAAAAAATCACTCACCTCATAGTTGTCCTTTAAGCATTGCATTTCAGAGGTGGCCCCACTGTAAGGGTACTGTTTTTGTTTGTTTGCCCAGAGATGGGCTTTTATATTTAAAAAAAATTTGCAGCCTAAAACAACCATTTTTTTCTAGTTGTCTTTGACCCCCATGTGGAAACCACTCCTTGCTTCCTGAAAGTGAGAGGGAACGCTCCCAACAGGGAGAAACAAAGCAATCATTAAACTTTTTTTTACTATCACGGAGAAGAGTTAGAACTCATGCCAGTTAATTGTGGTCTGTTTTCTGGCTGTGCGACTCCAGTGTGGTCAGCAGGACAGAAAGGGAGGGGAACTCTACCAAACAAGGCCCAGACAGCAGAAAAACCTAACCATTCTAGCCATTCCATTTTAATCATCTCATTTCTGACTCCCATGGTTTGTGCTGCTAAGACATGCCTGGGCAGGTGTATAAGTATGTGAACTGTTCCATCTCTTGGATCTTCTTTTCTCTGATTTGCTGACCAAGGAATGCTGCAGCATGAACTTCATATTATCTATATTATAGAAGGCAATTCAACAACTTGCATTTGTTAAAAGTTACCCTGTTAGCTCACGGTCACTTTATATATTAAAGCATACCTGTAACAGAAGAGGTAATATACTTACCTTTCCTGCGACTCAATTGGTTGATATGCCACCTCTTCACTTCTCACCGGCAGCTGCAAATATTCCACTGGCCAAATATGTTGAATACGTTTCCCCCATCACATGCAGTGGTCCCTTCCTCTTACTGCAGGATGTACAAGCTACAGGAAACAGGAATTTGAGTCAGGTGGCCGGTCAAATACTTGCAGCTCCCTGGGAGACGCAAAGAGGTGTTATTCCTACAAAAAGCCCACCAGAAAAGCAAGTTTATTGCCTCTTCTATTACAGATATGCTTTCACATACAAAGTGACTTTGCTGACAGTGTGACACAGTGCAATGATGCGGCTTGCCGAGACAATGAGGGACTTTTTTCTGATAAACACCTGATAACAAGCTGCAAACATGAAGGCTAAAACTTGCTGACTGCTAGGAATATGAAACCACGCCATGACAGCAGGAAGTAGTAGGAGTAGCACATCTATACACACACACACCACCTTTTACAATAAATGTAAACTCTCTACCTAACCTTCATTGTGCACTTGGTACTACTCATTATACTAAATAAATCATCTCCTATTTAAACAAAATTCTACTCACTCTGGGATTGGATAGACTGGGTCCTGAATTTCATATTAATTTGTCCACCCCCCCTGAGTTAGGTTGCCCATTCATTTGAATGAGCCTTTGTATGCACCAAAAATAATTGACTTACACTATTTGTAGAAAAGAAATGCACAGTAGTACATTACCATGCCATGTATTGCACTGCAACACAGGTGCATTGAGTGTCATTGAGCAGGGCACCACCGTGCATTGCAGTAATGCATGCATTATCACAATGCAACTGAGAATCCAGCCCAAATCTAAGCGATAGTGTTGACCTGGACAAATAAAGAGAGGGTCAGTATTTTAATTCCGATCAGCGTTTCTGTTCAGGAATCATTGTTTTATCTCCATCCAAGATGGCTCCACTCTTCTCAGAAAACTAAAAGAACCTCATAACTAATAATGGACCAGGAATATTACACAGTATCCTATATGACAGCATTCGGGAAGATAAATATACAACACTACAAAAGAAAAAACTGATGTGCCACATCAGAAAAAAACGAAATATTTAGAAACTTCAGCACAGCAATTAAAAATCTGCATGAGTTATAAAGTATCTCACAGAAGTAAGTACACCCCTCACATTTGTGTAAATATTTTATTATATCATTTCATGTGACGACACAGTAGAAATTACACTTTGCTACAATGTAAAGTAGTGAGTGTACAGCTTGTATATCAGTGTACATTTGCTGTCCCCTCAAAATAACTCAACACATAGCCATTAATGTATAAACCGCTGCCAACAAAAGTAAGTACACCCCTAAGTGAAAACGTCCAAATTGGTCCCAAAGTGCCAATATTTTGTGCGGCCACCATTATTTTCCAGCATTGCCTTAACCCTCTTGGGTATGGAGTTCACCAGAGCTTCACAGGTTGCGTTTTTCATTGGTCAGCCCCATCAGGGGACTGTGTTGACCAACGAGTGCTCGCAATTTGTTTGCCGAAATGTAAGTATAGCGGGAGGGAGATTTGTGCGGGTAATTACATTTTCCCAAATTACTTGGGAAAGTGAATTTACCCTTTAGGTTTGGTGCAGAGTTGGGCAATCCCAGGACGCGCGATCATGTGCGGTTGCATACAACAGCGGTTGCATCTGCATGTATGGGGTTACATCTGTGTGGCAATCGCTGAAAAAAGGTACATGTACCTTTTTTCGCGACACGCACCACGCAATGTATTTAACCGCGTTTGTGTGGGACCACCCGGGCAGTATTGCGGCAGGAGACTGCGCAATCTGCCTGGCGCAACTGGGGTGCCATTAGAAAATAAATGGCACTGGTGTGCGATTCCGTGACTGTCCAGCCATCTGCTCGGTTTTGTGTACGATGACCGGGCGGTCACGGATTGCACACCACCGTCGATCTCGCTGGCAGTGCCATTATTTTCTAATGGCACCCCAGTCGCTCCAGGCAGATTGCCGATTTCTCGCCGCAGTACCGCCCTGCCTGTGCGGTTGCACAGGATCGCGGTTCAAAACACTACACGTTTATTCGCATGCAGATGGTGGGGGCAGCGGGGCTGGTGTTCATTTTTTCAATTTTTATTTACTTTGTAAAAAATTTAAATTTTAATTAATTTTATTATTTTTACTTTATCACCTTTTTTATTTTAACATTTTTAATTATTTCTTATTTTTAAATTTAAAGGAGAACTATGAGGTGAGTGCTTTTCACTCACCTCATAGTTCTAGCCGACCTGTGACAATGAGACTGTCACAGGTCGGCTCAATAGATCGGGAGGTGAGCGAACATATACCGGTGTTCGCTCACCTCTCGATCTAGAGGCAGAGCCAGCTGTCACTCACACAGCTGGGCGGATCTCGACATCGATGTCGGGATCCGCTCCGGCGTCTCAGTATACCGCGAGCTGTAGCTCGCGGTATACTGAGCTTAGGGTAACGGGAGGACACTAGTTTGTGTCCTCCCGTTACCCTAAGGAGAACTATGGGGAAAAGCCCTGACCCCATAGTTCTCATTTAACTATTTTTCTTTTCACTTAAACTTTATTGCTATCACACAGGGGATAACAAGCCCCTGTGTGATAGCATTTGGAGGTGACAGGTTCTCTTTATTGACCCTGTCACCTCCAACACAGGAGTTCTAGCACAGCACTGTGCTAGAACTGTGACAGGAACGAGCAGCGGCCGGGGACAGGGGCTGAGGGAAGTGACAGAGACTGTCACAGCTCCACGCCCCCAGTTCTGACAACGCTCCACGCCCCCAGCTCTGACAACGCTCAGTTAAAAAATATAATGAATAAAATCAGCCCTGCTACTTGTCTGCAGCAGGACTAAAACACTGAAAAAAACACTTGCCCGGCACTACATGTCCCGAGCGTCGGGCAATACGAATTCCACACCCCTGCTGTCTCTTCCTGTCCCACGGAGTCTGTGCGGGTGCATGCTGCTGCATTAAGTTTCCCTGGGTCTCTCCTCATCTCTCGCCCCAAGATCTGAAATGAGCATGTGCACGTCCCAAGATCCATTGCGGCCACTTGAGAATCTTCTTTAACCCTTTGGTAAACTTTTTTTTTTATGTTTTTGCATATACTGTATCTACTGCTTGCAAGAACACGATGGTTTTACTGTCACTTTAAAAAGGTACTTGAATGCATTTTTAAGATTTACATCCTGAGTTTAGTGTCACAATAATGTGGAATTAAAGAATAACTCCAGGATTCTCAGAAGTTAACCCTTGCAGTGAGGCTTCCCCACGCACTGCAAGAGTTAACTTCTCGTTTTGGTCTAGGAAACGGAATAAAGAAGATATACGTACCTGCACCTCGGTCCTGCTGCAGTCAGCGCTCACCTCTCCCTCCACTCGGATTGTGGCATGTCCCTCGGCATCTCCACGTCCTATAGACATGTATTAGACGCGATGATGTCATGGGTCCCTGGACCACCAGAGCCAACAGGAGAAGAGGCTGCCGGAAGCGGTCTAGCAGCCAGGCGGGATTGAGGTTCAGGTGAGTAGATCTTCTTTAATTGCGACCTTAGACTAAAAGGAGCACTTAACCCTTGGAGTGTGGGGGTAGCCCCACTGCAAGGGCTAAACTTTTGAAAATCCTGGAGTTCTACTTTAAGGGCTTGTTCATACCATCTTCAGGCCAGATCTGGATGCGTTTCAGGATGTTTTTGGGTTCTCATTTGGTTTTGCATGGGTTTTAAGCATGTTCCAGTGCACTCTGGTGTGTTTGCATGCAGTTTTGTGTGTTCTATTTTTAAAAGTTCCGAAACTGAATGCAGTGGTATGAACTAGTCTCATTTAAAACCATTGGAATTACTGTGTATGCATTTTTGGTGCAGATAAAAAAATTTCTGGTCTAGACACGATCTGGAGATGGTGTGAACAGGCCCCTAAGGCTCCATTCACACCTAGACGACACATATTACGCGTCTTTTTTTTTTTGGTCTGTTTTTTTACACACGCATTATAAGTTACGCGTTTTTGGGAGTAGATTTTGGCACATTCATGTGGAACACGTGCAAAAAAACCAAAAACCTTGTAATGCGCGATTTCAATAATTTTCTATTAAAGTGACTTTAAACCCTCAGATTTTTTAACATAAAACAATAGTGTAATGTGTGCCTTACTGTAATCCATGGTAGTTTCCCTTCTCTTTGCTGCTCTTCCTTTTAAATCTGTATCTGTTCTCATGCTTGGAGAGAACTTCCCTTTTTAGCAGACTGCCTTGTCTCAAACGGTGTCTGTGTATACGTTTCTATAGGCTGTAACCTGAGCCAGCACTACAGGAAGAGGCCCTGAGCTGAAAAGGGAAGTTCTCTCCAAGCATGAGAAAAGATACAGATTTAAAAGGAAGAGCAGCAAAGAGAAGGGAAACAACCATGGATTACAGTAAGGCACACATTACAGTATCGGTTTATGTTAAAAAATCTGAGGGTTTAATGTCACTTTAAGTCTATGGAACAAAACGCGCTAAAATCTGCACCACAACAGCTCATGTACTATTTCAAGCCACAGGTGTATTTCTGCTTGTGACAAAATTCACAGGTGTGAACGGGGGGGGCCATAGAAATGAATGGGATTCCTTGGATGGAGTGTTTTGTCGCACTGAATCAACTGCGAAAATACACCTAGGTGTGAATGGAGACTAAAGGTCATCTAAAGCCAAGAACAAAAATGTATTTATATTACATTTTACCAGTCCTTAGATGTGGTGGCTGCATTAGTTTTAGTTTTTCAGGCCAAGACTATTTTCAGCAACTACAGAAAATACCAGTTGATCTTTCCAGAAATGCCGTGCCCGTGTCACTTCCTGTGAGCTGAACGCACAAACATTGCTGTATTTCTTCTGTAAACTACTAACATCCCCACCCCCATGTAATGGAGACGAACAAAGGCAGACATGTTTGTTCACACCATGTCCGTTGTGCGGTGGTGTGCAGAAAGCCACAGCTCATGTAAGGGGTTGAACAAAGCACATAATTAACCATTGTTTTCTATATGTCCTCATCACACCATACATGTGGGAAGGTGTGCAGGGCAATGCAGCTCAGCAGACATGGTGGGAACAAGCCCTGAAGGAGAAGTGTACTTTCAAGACCAAGTTAATTTTTTTTGCCCCCTTTTTTTGATCAACAGATCCCACTCTCCCCTTCCACTAATGTATACTTACTGAGACCCAACTCCCGTTGCCTTGTTTACATCCCGGACCGCAAAGCCTCTGCTTCTCTGCCACACCTGTACAGTACCATAGAATTCCAAAAAGCTCATCTACCTCCTTTTCCCTGCCAGGAGATGAGCCCCTCATAGATTTTTAAAGGGCTCTACTGCAAAGGAGCGGCCATGGGAGGGCTTGTAAACAACCCCTGTGGCTACAGGAGCTGGTAAGTTAGCATCTGTAAAGAGGGGGGGGGCTGTTAGGTCAGGGGAGGGGAGCGCAATAAGAATAAGTGCACTTTGTCTGAAAGTCCCGCCTGGGCGACAACCATGGCTCCCTGCCTCCCTCCATAAAGTGGAGCCGTAAGCATAGCCACCCGGGGACAGGAAGAGTGTTATTTGCAGAATTACCTGGTGAAAATAAACCTGAAAACTAATCAAGCCAACTCGTCGAAGGACAGCCAAGCTGAAATGATTACATTTTTTGTTTATTTTCGGGTTTAGATACACTTTAAAAAGCCATCACTAGCTAGTCACCTCTATGTTATTGTATGTAAGTAACTACAGCACTGCAGACCTTTTTTTATTACTGATTGTAGAACTTGTAGCCACATCTGCCCCTGCTATACAGATTGTCACCGTGATGAACTAGATCACAGGGGGGGCAGTGCTGTAAATTGATGAATCCACTATGGGGTAATTTACTGAAACAAAATACATTAATCTGGAGCAGTTGCCCATAGTAACCAATCAGCTTCTCTGTTCAGTTAAGCTTTAAAAAATGAAAGGGAGAAGCTGATTGGTTGCCATGCACAGCTGCTCCCGTTTTAGTAAATTCCCCCAAAGTTTTTACACTATGCCATCTTGCATTGTTCCAGTCTAATCTGCCTGTCCATATTAAACTATAACCATTTTGCAATGTCTAATATATGCTTTGATTTAACGACGTAAAAGCTCTCACCTGTTACCTGACTCTCCTCATCAACAAATAATAACCGACCAGTAAGCCCAAATCACCACATCGCGCCCTGAGTGATGCTCTCCGTCCTTCGCCTCGCTCGTTCGCTTCTACCCCAGCTCGGATATCAAAAGTAAATACCCAGCAGCGAATAACCAAATCGAATGGGGGTATTCGAGGACTTGAAATCTTCCGCCCCAGCCATTAACCAATCAACATACAGTATCCGGGTCAGAAAGCCGCTGGCAACCAATGAAATAAAAACGCCAGGGGAAATTTGCTACGGATAGGAGGGGTCACCCGTTTTAAAAAGACATTGTCAGCGATTGGTCGCCATTGCAGTGTGTTAGAAAGCACAGCCTGTGATTGGATACTCGATGATAGCCGGCATAATGACAGCTTCCAGCCGCAGCCACGCCTCTAATCCATGATTATGCATGCAGGCCCCGCCTTGGGTCACGTCGCGGGACTTTTTAAAGAGCTGGTGGGGGTGGCGCGCCTCTGATCAGCTGTTTGTAGAGCCATGCATCGGTAATGGGGGGTTGGGCAGTGGTAGTGCATGTGTATAACTGGGTGAGCTGACGTATCGGGTTGTGGATGCCGCCTAACCTGTGCGCTGTTTTACTATGATTGTGCGATCTTGGTGTGTTTTTCAGATGAACCATGATAGGTTATGGTGATGTTTGTAAGTGAAGTGCTTTTACACAAAGGTTCTACTTTAGACATCTGATTCTACAGAGCAAAGACTGGACGAGTGCTTTAGCGATGCATCGGATTTCCCATTTGCCCCTTAGTTCTGAATCCCTACTCTAGTCCAGAGGGACTTACATCTTTTACTGATTTCATGAAATTTTTTAGAATAATTATATTTGTCTGAAATGGTGCATCTTCTCTACATTTCTGGGTGACTAAAACAATATGGCTTCTCGGTTGGTTTTGCAGCTGGAACATTTGTTATCCCCATTTATTATTTTTATGGTGGTGATTTATAAACCATTCCCACAAGGAACAGCAGTGCAAACTAAATTTGTGGTACAACATGGCCACTAGGTGGAGCCAATGAGCATTGGAAATTCCTATGCTCATCAGCTCCACCTAGTGACCATAGTACATTGTTGGGGGAATATTATCTAAACTGGAGCCGGCAGAATCTGGAGCAGCTGCCCATTGCAACCAATCAGCTTCTCTTCTCAGTTTGTGTTAAGCTTTGAAAGTGAGAAGTTTATTGGTTACTATGGTTAATTCTTATAACGCGCTACTATGGTTGATGAATTCTCCTGAGTCTTGTTCACTGTGTAAATGGCTTATAATGCCGATGCTGTAACTTGCAATGCAATTTGTGGGCACCTGGATAAATTACTTCTCTGCATGCTCATCTATAATTTGGTTGTTTCAGCAGCTCGGGGCATGCAATTCTGTAGAGAACAGGGGTAAAGGTGGCCATACATTATATGATTTTCGTTCGGAAATCACGCATTAAATGAAATTTGAACAGATTTTGGCAGTGATTGAAATTTTGCGATTTAGTCAGGATGGAAAAAAAATTTCTGACCCGAATGAAAATTGATGCATCAGTGGGGTTTTTGTTTGTCACAAATCGTAGCAAGAGCACGGCATATACGCAAAAGAAAACTATTTCCGTCCGTCTAAAATTGGTTGGTTAGTATGGCTAATTCCGAAAGCAACGTTTGACTATGCTTGATGGGGTATTCGAGTTATAACTGAAAGAGTGTTCATGGGTTATTTTCGTTCGAAAGACCATTGTGCAATGTAAGGTCACCTTTGGTCTCCTTCCTTAACCTCCCTGGCGGTCTGATTCTCAGTATTTTTTCTATTTTTTACTTTTAAATTTACCGCCGGTTGCGCCCTCCTGCGACGCAGGCGCTCGCAAGGGAAGGAAGACGGATGCCGGCACAGCGGGGCTCGTAGGGACAAGGTAAGTGACGCACAGTGTAATCCCGAGTGTGGCTCTGGGTTACCGCTTTTGGTACTGAAAATTAACCCCGAGACACACTCGGGATTACTGCTAGGAATGTTAAAAAGCTGCCTTGGCGCTATGGAGGAGCCCAGGGGTACACTTGGTGCTATGGAGGAGCACAGGGGTTTATTGGCGCCATGGAGGAGCCCAGGGGTACACTTGGCACTATATGGTCACATAGAGCCAAGCTAGGGGCACAGGAGTACCCTTGGAGCTTTTCAAAGCTCCAAGCTATATTTCAAAGATTTGAATATAGTGTATTATGTCACTTATGTCATTTTTAAGAGCGAGACCTGGAACCTAACTCCCTCACGTCCCAATGATTTACATGATTAACTTTTTAAAGTAAATTGGTTTCGATTTGCAACCATTCCTTCAGGAACCTAACCCTGGCGTAAATTGAGGGCTACTCTACTGTTGTCTGAACTGTCTTCATTTATGTACTATCATGCTCCATAGGTAATGGAGACAAGACAGTTGACTGTGGGTCAGGCAATCGGGAAGAACCACAGAGAGCTGCATGGGACCAGGGAGGTTGTCAATTCTGTAGAGTGTTTCCTTACAGACTTTAGGGGAGGACATTTCATGAGTGGGGCAGGAGAGGTAAGTATTTACTAAAAGATTACAGGGTTAGCTTGCCTGACCAACTTGGTATAGTGTCAGTGTTGCTTTAATGAGGACCCCCCCCCCTTCCCCCTTAATGCTGGACTCTCACCAGAATATATGCCTGCTTACAGCAAATAGCGTTGTCCTGCTGTGTTCACTGCTACAGCTGGATCCCACATGGCCATCATCTGCTGTGATGTCATCAGGCACCGACTGTCTCTTCCCTGGAGGCTACAGGAGCAGGCAGCAACACTTTCCTGCTCCTGCAGCCTCCTGGGGAATCCCTGTCGCATCACAGGAGGGTGCAGTAGCGGGGAACCTCCTGGGATAGGAGACGGGCATTCCCCAAGAGACTGAGGGAGTAGGATACATGCTTCTTGCCCTGGCAAGAATGGTGGCAGGGGGGCAGAGCTGACCAAAAAAGTAAACAAGAAATACTACACCACCAGTTTATATTGCTGAGGAGGCTGAAGTGGAATGTTAAATGATTGAACCCACTGGATTAGTATTACAGCCAGGAAACTTGCATTTTAAGAAGCAGTATTTAAAGCGGACCTTTACCAATATCTTTAAAATGACCACAAACCTTTAGAAATATTTAGTCATGACAATCTGCAAACAGATACTTCTAGATAATTGCCAGCTTTGTATTCTTTGCATACCTTCTCTTCCCCAGTCTTCTGACAGTGGCCATGTTTATTAAGGGCAGATTACTAGCGCTCCTTTTACTTCCTGGATTTCTGGCACACGTGACCATGCAAATCTCAGGGGAGGGAATTGCCTTTCCCTGAGACTGCAGATGAGATTTTCCAGCAATGTTCTGATGACAAGGCAATCCCAGTGTGCATTGCTTTGGAAACCTGAGGTCATTTTGGCTTTCAAAGCAGGAAGTGAATGCTCTGCAAGTGTAAGTATTTCAAAATCACAGCATTTTATACCTGACAAGTCTATGTTGTTAATCATCATAGATAGAGCGATGCATTGGTAGAATTAGATGTTTGAGTGTAAAAGTCCCCTTTAACTATGGCAGCCCCAATTTATTTTTTATTTTGCAAGCTTTCCCTTTAAATTTGAAATTCTAAACCTCAGACTTGGGTGCTCTGTTCAAAATGCACTGTAGTTTTGAATGGGCTGTTTGTTAAAGGGGACACGTGTTTTTCAATTCCCTTAAACTAAACTGCCTGCAGCCATACGTAAAACACACACACACACACGTGGCTGCTCTAGTGTGTCTATTCCTTTTTTATCGAGTTTTCCAGGTTCTCTAAAGGTTAAGCTGGCCATACACGGTTAGATTTTCATACAAAAAACATTTAATGCCCTCAAACTTGATGAATGTTTGAAGTTTAATCTGATTTTAACATTTGAACGCCTCTATTCATGAATGTTTTGGAGGCTTTCTGTTCTCTTGGTGGTCAGAAAAAAATGAATGCAGTTAATCACCAAACTGTAGAAAACGGTTCCAGCTAGCCCCAAGCCATTGTTTGGCTGAAGTGCAGTGTCTGTGATGCATTCATTTGGCATGTTTTCAGGTTCCCCTGATTTCACTTACCTAATAGAAGGGGGTTCATTACCGTAGTGAAAGGCCTGACTGACACCTTTGCATTGTGATGCGTCCAGTGACATTCATTTTGGAATGGCACATCCATGCACAGTAACCCAAAAAGTACCTGTGCTATAGCATCACACAGGTGTGGCTTCCAAATTGACACAGGTGTGGCTTCCAAATTGACACAATTGGATGCAAATCATGCAGTCTCTTATTTAACAAAGTGTATTTAACAAAGTGTAACAAGTGTGCAATCTGGACAGCTAACAGACAGTTGCACAAGTGGTCAGGTTTTATGTTGTCCCAGGGAGGGAGGAACTTATGAATAAAGCTGCACTTTTTATAGTAAATCTGTCTGCTCCTTCTTTAGCATTGCCGTATTGTAAGCCAGCGTTCCTTGTTTAAAGTCATTAAGGAGTATTTGACGACCCATTCAAAATGGGCCTATTGGTTCTTGCCATATGTAACTTGCAGGGGTGGCAAGAGAGCTTTATACCAGCCGTTTGTACTAAAAAATGTTGAATGGTACATTATCCAACTTAAACTGATAGTATTTAGCATGGTTGTACTGCGGAATGAGGATTTAAGGATTTTCTATCTTTTCGCTTTAGGATCGTTATACACAGTTTTTAACAATTTCATGTTTATTCTTTGTTTTAGGCTAGAGCATCAGCTGTCACCTCATATGCTGACACGGAGCCATGAGCAACAACTGCCTGCATTCTCAAACACTCTCCTTCCTGAACCATGGATGTTGATAAGCAACACTGCTGGCATGGAAGATTTATTTGGGTAGCTATATTTCAACTAAAATGTGCATTTGAGTTGGCATATGTTGAAAAATCTTCTTGGACATTAGTTTCATGGAGACTTAAAGAACTCTGGGCAAACTTACTTACTCCTGTCAGTGGGGCTACCCCTGCATCGTAAGGGTTTACTGCTTGTCTAGGTGCTAAGAACGTTATACTCGCCTGAACAGCTGAGCTGGCTCCCTGCTTCTCCAGTCACTGAAGCCTCTCCTCTGCTGCAGCATTGGAATCTTCCTTGGCATCCTCATGTCTGTACACTGTGTATAGAATGTGGTGATCTACTTAGACCGCTGCAACGGAGGTAGACTGACACTCCAAGACTGGTCTAAGAGCATACCGGCTCCAAGGATCAGGTGAGTATAACTTTTTTTTTTTTTAGCATCTAGACAAAAATGAGCACCTAGGTTAAGTTTTGCCTGGAGTTCCCCTCTAAAGTGGAGTGCAACATTAATATGAATTCTGTAGTGCTTTCCAGTTACATCGGTCTAATTCTGTGGAGGAATTTGAAGCACGGCTGAAGTCACTTGTGTGGTGGAGCGTTTGCTGTAATATACTTGAACATGTATGGTAAACTTGCCTGGAAGCGTGCCCTTCACCAGCAGTGACAGCTCATGACTGCAACTGCAGCATCTAAGAGCAGAAATCTTCTCCCCAGCTGTTTCTTTCAGGCCTTGTGATGGCCACTGCCGCATGGGTTGCGTCATGCCTGTCACCTAGCTTTATAACAGAATGGAGGAATCTGGAGTATGTGTGTAGCACAGCTTACAAAGAGGACAACATGCCTTAACTCGCACACCAATCATGCACCACTGTACTCTTTGCATTTGTCGCATATTCCACCTCAGGTGCCCCATAAGTGGATAAGACCAGATCTGCCCATCCTGACAAACAACCTTATTTTTTCCCTTAGGCTTTTCTGACATTAAATTCCACCCACTTCCTACACTTTTCCCTCTACCTCTCAATGGTGATGGTGGGCACATGTCATTTGAAAGGTGGAGGTAGTGCATCTGGGTTTGGCCTTGGTAGTTTTATTTACCACATGTAGGCAGTAGGTAGAACTTGCAAAGAGCTCTATCTTCTGATGTCTCTTCCTTTCAGACAGCTGCTGTGCTAAAACAGGCCAAATAATTCACAAGCACGCCCCTCTCAGCCATTAAGCAATATCCTAACTGGCAGATTACCAATATAAAAGTAAATATAAAGGTTGCTCGGTGTTTAAGTCAATTTGGTTAATTTTATTTAAAATCTTAATCAATTAAATAACTTGTAAGTTTATAAACCAAAGATTGTCAGAGGTAAGATCACTGCTCAGGCGGAGCGGTTTTGTCGGCAAACCGCATGGACAGTTCTAATGCTGTATGAACGGTGCTTAGAAGGAACTTGGATACAGCTATCAACAAATTGTTGAAAATGTTCTAAATACTCTTGATCTGCTGATGTAAAAGTTGGTTCCATGGGATTGATTATAAGTGCTTATTTCTTTCCGCGCCAGCTCATTTCAGACAAAATGTCTGGTCTTTGAAAATAACCACTATATACAGCAGAATGTTTCGCACATGGGTGTTAAGAACACAGATCATAACTACCAACTTGCATGATATGTGTATATGCAAATGAAAGACTGGAATTTATTCTAGTAAACAACTATATGTGGCATGTTATGTGGAATCTCAAGTAGTTGTATATCTCTGCCAGGGTACCGTCAAGATCTCGTTTCCTTGGTGCTTCTGGATTTCTGGCAAAGAGAGACTATAATCACTCAGATGCTTTGCAGACTACAAGGTACTACTTGCCCTAGAACATTTTATTCTCTAGTAGATTTGTAGTGGACCTGGTAGCAAAAAACAGATCATGTTCTGTATTGAGATGTGGCTGCAAGTCTAATAATACTCTTAAAGCGGACCTTTACATATATCTTTAAAATAAAACGCATTTAGAAATGTTTAGTAATGACAATCTACAAACAGATGCTTCTAGGTAACTGCAGGCTTTGTTTCCATACCTTTTTCTTTTCTTCCCCAGTCTTCCGACAGTGGCCATGTATACTGAGGGCAGATGACTAGCTCTCCTTTTACTTCCTGGATTTCTGGCACATGTGACTAAACATGTGACCATGCACATCTCAGGGGAGGAAAATGCCTTTCCCTGAGATCTCATGAGATTACAGATGAAATTTACCCAGTAATGCTCTGCTGATGCCATGGCAATCCCAGTGTGCCTTGCTTTGCCAAACTGAAGTAATTTTGCCCTTTCAAAGCAGGACGTGAATGCTCTGCAAGTGAAAGTACTTTACACCTGACATGTCTGTTATTAATCATATATAGAGGTATCCGTTGGTAGAATTTGATTTTTGAGTGTAAAGGTCCGCTTTTAAATATTTCAGGTTGATTTTTCCCAAACCAGATTCTCCTGAACGGGGCTGTGCAGCGACAAGGGTCAATGTTGGTGTTGATACAGAACTGGATTTGTTGGACCTTGATCAGTCAAAGCCCAGGTTGGTATTTCTCATTCTGATCATTTGCTATTATTTTCCTTCAGGTGGTTATTCAGTAAATTTTCATATTTGTGGTAAAAACTAGTTTAAAAGCAAGATATTTAATCCATGCTTGCAGACCTGCAGCCGGTTGGAGGGAGGAAGGGGGGCACAAATTGTAAAGCATTTTTTTAAATATGGTTTTCAAGACTCCATGACAGCCCAGACCAAGAGACTGGATTACAAATGACAGAGGGGTATACAAACAGTTTCATTGCCATGGAGTGATATATGGGCTAGCCATAAAGAATGTGGAATCTGTTTGTAATCCTTTACTTCTACTTCTTGTCCATGATTGCTAAGGGCTTGTAGGGAATCTAGCTGTCAATCTACCTCCCATAGGAACTTTATCCCCAAAGATTTGATCTGTATGAGCCATATCTCGGTGATAGTGCTAGGTAAAGAGGTGTGCTAACTTGCAGGTTTGTTCTGTAAATGCCGAGGCTGACTACAGCTAAAGATGTTGATGTGGTTTGAGCAGAATGTACCTAAAAATGCTGGAGGAGGCTTGGCAGATGTCGAATTCAGCGACAAACTCCTTTTTGGAGGAATTCCAGGTAGTTGGTTATGACATGATATTTTGGAAGATTTTCTTTCACAATTGCAATTTTAACCTTGCAAATTCTACTGGTTCTTAACGATAGTGTAGAGTATTGTATGCAATTTCCTCATTCATATTTTTTTCCCCCTGTTCAGTGTCCAAGTTTTGAGATAATCCAGTCAACCTCCATGTTAGGGTAGGTCCCTGGAATAAGAGATCCTTTTTAAGAGATGCCATGGAGATTCCATTATTGGCAGAATTAGTTAAACACCCTTTAGCCCTGGACAAATCTCACCCAGAACTAGGAGCCAGCTCTAAAAACCTAGGTGGCATCCGATGCAACCTGCCTATGGCTGTATAGGTAGCTAAAGGATACATAGTGGAGCAACAGTTGAACTTGAGAAGGACACCATACATCACACTGTGCCCCTGTCCGTTTTCTGTTTTGGATGGGAAAGCTAAAGGGATGCTGAAGAAAATTGGGGACTCTGCAAGTATTGCATTTAAGGCCAACATAGCCATTGTGTCGGTAGCAAGGTGCCTTGCATATCTGGAAAACCTCAACACCACTCTTAAGAATGTCTTATCTTCTCTTCTGATTTTGACGGTGTTAGACTACATTTGTTGTGCCTCTGCAGATGCAGTCTGGATAACAGCAAGAACAGCAGCCATGTTAAATACTGCTAGAAGGGCCATCTAGCTTAAAGTATGGGGGGACAACACAATCTCCAAATACAGAGGTACATTAGATGAGATTTTGGACAAAGCAGCAGACAAGGCCTTTCTCCCTGGATACATGGGGTCACCCCAAAGCAATATATGCTCTCCCAGTCTGTGGGGTTGAAATCTGAAATTTTCCTTCCCACCCCTTACCATTCTTGCATCTTAGAAAAACATTTGGCTACAAGTATACATAATAGCTTCCTTTTTGGCCAAAGCAACCTTGGTTCATGCTTCTAAAATGCTTGTTGGTGGCAGAACCTTGAACTCTCAGATCTCCTCCACCAGGGGATTCTCTGTCTAAGTCAAGATAAAGTTCATTGTTCCATCCACAAATAAAAACCCTACTCCTTGCTGTCTGGCTTTTGAGAGGGGCCTACTTAATTACAGCGGACTATCAGATCCAGTAATGACTACCATGCAATCCAGCAGGAAGCTGAATACTTCTAGAACTGCAGTACCTGAAAGGCCTTTTAAGCTTTCTGCAATCAAAGTTGACCCTCTAAAAATCTCCAGATTTAGACTTTCTACAAGCCAGCCTGGACAAGGGTCTAAGATCAGCTATGTTAACAGTACAAGTTGCAGCCCTATGTTCCTCCCATTACAGAATGGCCGTATATACTTGAGTCCTAAGATTCCTAAAAGCAGCGGACAGGCTATTTCTTGATTAAACATGCCCTTTTTGAAACCTCACATGGTTGCTGGAAGTCCTGATCCAACCTTCCTTCAAGCTTCAATATCTTAGGCAAGTTCATAACATTCAAGACTGTTTTTTTTTTTGTTTTTTGTTTTTTTCAAGTAACTGGTAGTACAAATTCAGGCCTCTACCAAGGTGAAAATCATACTTTACTACTGTTGATGACAATAATTTTGGCCTATGGATTCTTTCTTAAACATTCTCGGTACCACAAAGCAAAAATTTGTTTGTCATTCTATGTCAGTATGGTTAGTGAAGAGGAAGAGTGGCTTCACACGCTTGACATGAGAAATTGTGTTCTCATCTAAGATCACACCTGAACATGTCGACAAACTTAAATAACTACTGGTCTATTAAAGCAAAAATAAAGGCATGAAAGCCTCCAGATCAACTTTTACTTGTTAAGAATGGCTATTGCCTTCACCTATGTTTCCCAGAGTAAGAGTACCTCCCTGTCTTTGAGCTCAGTAAACCAGAGCTTTATCAAATTCATGGGCAGAGATGGCCACTGTGGCACTTGATATGTATAGCAGCCACGTGGTAAAGCGCCAGTACCTTTTGCCTGACACTACAAGTTGGTTTTCTCAGGAAACACTGCTCTGGGGTTTGGCCAGGGAGTTTCATTGTTAGCTACCCATCCTTAGGTTATAGCATGTGCAGTGCTGTCATTGAGTGAAAGCAAGAACACAAGTTACACTAACCAGTATTGCTGCTTCAAGTCTCCATGAGAGCATGCAACTTCCCTCCCATGTCTCCTGGCTTGCCTTTCCTATATGGTTATGCACTGGGGATCTGTAGGGGCAGTCGAATTTTAGAATTGTCCACTCTCGTGCAGTGCTGTCATGGAGCCTTGTGGAAACAGCATTACTGGTGTGTAACTTGTATTTTCTTGGTGTCAATTGAGGGACACTGGTCTCGCACTGATCTCTCAAGACTGCTTAGCTACCAAGCTAAGTCAATAATAGTAGTAGGAGGGGTTGTCTTGGGCTGGCCTACAGATTTTTTGTATGTCTGTCTCCAATCTTTCCTTCATCAGTTTTACCTAAGATTAAGACTTCCAGTGTCCCTCAATGGACTCCAAAAAAAGGAATTTACAGTGAGCACTAAAAATGTTTTCTCCATAAAGCTTATAAATACATGAACGAGGGCTTGCTTAAAACTGCTTTTACTGATTGCTCAGATTATGTAAATACTTTGGTGTATATGACCTGGGCACATGTTCACTTTAAGCCCTGACTGCTTGCATTGTCTGAAACAAAAATGGTTTTGGCTGTAGTTGGGTTTAACAGGATCTTGCATAGAAGAATGGATTTTAAAAAAATGAGGCAAATTTCCTTTTTGGGGGGGTTTGGCATACAGTTTGTCCTCCAGTAGATACTTTATGTAGAATCCTCCTTTTGGTAGCTTGGATGATGTTGGCTAATCCATAGGGGGCTTTTTTTAATAAATTATTTGACTAAATGGAAAATAAAGTGCAAAACATGTCAAAAAGGGAAAAAATATAATTTTGGGGTTGCACAATCTGGGACTCTTGTCCATGAGTGGACAGCCATGGAAAGAAGTCAAAGTACATTGTATATAACCACTTTACATTCGTTCACAAGAGTTATTTGGGCATTTGAACCAAAGTTTCATGAATAAGTTGGTAAGACTGATCTATAAAATGGAGTTTGTGGAAAAGGGAGTAAGGAGGAACAAATTCTATGTTAAAGAGAAAGAAGGGGTGAGGGCTTAATGGACCATGCCTCGGGCCGGAAGCCCGTTTCCAGATGCAATGAGATCTAAGACACTTAGCAGGCCAGAGGGACGTGAGGTGTATTTTCAATTGCGCAATATAAAGTTTCGAGCAAGTTAAAAAGCGTAATAGGCTTAAAGATTAGTACAAATTTTCAGGGAGTGTTGTCCTGTGGACTTTAAGATCCATGGGCACCAATCGGAGATACATTTCTCTTCAGTCTTATGCAAAGACGTTGTGAGATCCGCCATAAAGTAAATGTCGCTGACTCTGAAAAACCACATCCTAATGGTAGGAGGTTAGGTTTCCTTCCATGGGGATGCATGCCCTTGCCACATTCACTAGGTGGTGAGAGAATATTTGTTTGTATTTGGAGAGTGGTTTAGTTGTCATGTGGCCAGTTCAGTATCTGTAAGGAGTTTGCATGTCCTCCCTATGCTTGCGTGGGTTTTCTCCCACACTCCAAAGACATGCTGGAAGGTTAATTGGCTCCTGTCTAAAATTGGCCCTCATGTGTATGCATGTGAGATGGCAACCTTTTAGATTGTAAGCTCCTTGAAGGTAGGGACTGATGTGACTGTGCATTGTAGAGCGCTCTTTAAATTGTCAGCGCTATATAAATACCTGAAATAAACTAGTGTCCCAAAAGTATTTCAACCGCGGACAGGACCAAAATCTGTCAGTTTTAGTTGCAGAACCACATCTCTGACATTTGTCTGGAATGGAGTCAACCATTTTATGCAACAACCAGGGTACTCCTATACCATCTTGTTACAATTCAGCAGATACCTGCTAGGCAGAGAGGACTTAAAGGTCATTGAGAGGATAGTGTCCTTTTTATTGATCAGTGAAGACTCATCCCAGGTGGAAAGAAAAGGAAACTCCTCAAAGTAAGCAGCTTAGGGTGGGCAGGCAGGCTGTAAGGCATTTAAGGGTTGTATGAAATCGTAACTGGGAACTGTATTTGTTGTATGAAGTTGAGCAGTCTGAATTTCTGAGCTTTGAGGGGATTACAGAGTTGTGTGTTCTCTATTCCTGGGGCAAGTCTGAGTAAGTTAATATTGGTGTCAACAGTGAAGGAGAAAGGAAGTCCTGAAAAACCTTCGTGCCGTTTACATGATCGTGTAGGTCAGTGGGTGTTTTCACTTTCTCGGAGGGGAGAAGAGAGCCAGAGAAGACTCTCAATGGGGAAGTTATACAGACATTGTTCCGTGGTCACCCATATTTTACGGTCAGTGGAGACAAAGTCCAGCGCTCTGTTTTAAATGAACTTACAATATGCAGTCAGGTCTGGTAGGCCCACTTCCCTTTGGTCTAAAGGGGAAGAGTTTTCCTACCGCGCCTAGGGGGTTTCCCTGCCCAAACAAGATAAATGCTCTATGCAGTTGCTTAAAGAAATAAGGTGGTAGGCGGATGGGTAAGGCCTTAAGGAGATAAAGAACTTGTGGTAGGAATTTCATTTTGAGAGAAGTGAAACAGCCTGGCCTAGAGATGGTCAGCCAATGTCTAGGGTCATTTGATATGCATGCACTATTTTTTGCAACTGTATCGCACTGAAACGCAGGGCATTGCTACTCATGTGTTCTGGTGCAGGCAATTGCACTGCAGGCGGGAGGAGTGTCTGCGGTGCCATTGACATGACTAGCACCCCATGTCCCCTCCTGCCCCAGAACATCGGAAGCTTGGTTTATGCAATCCAGTGCATTCAGTGCACAGAGCCTTACTGGAACACACTGGACAGCGTGTGAACAGGCCCTTAATACTCCTGCCATGCAGGGGTGTTTGCTTGCACTTATCCAGAAGTGTTCATTTCACGGCCTGGAGGACCGGAGCCTTTTGACTCCCATGAGGTTTTACTATTGGATTGTTAGTGACACTAAACCCAGGGGTTATATCTTAAAAAATGCTTTCAAGTACCTTAACTATTAACATGCATCTTTGTGTGTCACTCAGCTGTAGATCCTCAAATCTGAATTCATGCTGTCACTGTCCTGAATTCATGCTGTCACTGTCCTTCCTTCTGGAGAAACTTTTTTGTTCCCCATGGTCCTTGTGTGTTGTAAAGTAGCCACCTCTCCAAGCTCACTCCTGTGATGGACTACAATCTCCCATTTTTGGTTTGCCACTTTGTATTGAAGTTCTAGTCCATCATAGGAGCGATCTTGGAACAGTGGCTACTTTACAACACACTTGAGGACCATGGGAACTAAAGTAGCCACCCTCCAGAAGGAAGGGTGGAGTTGGCATGAATGCAGAGATTTTAGGATCTACAGCTGAGTGATACACAAATAAGATACATTTTTGTTAAAATGTAAAAATGCATTTAAGTACCTGAACGATTAACTTCTGAGCTTAGTGTCACTTTAAAGACCAGGGAGCAGGGCTTAGCACAGTGTTGAATTTGAGGAACGCAGCATGTTTTAAAGCTTCTACATGTATCAGTACTGGGGAATTGGGGGGGGTGGGGGCATTGCTATGAGTTGACTTTTCTGCTTTAAAAAAATGCGGAAGGTGGAACAGTGATGTATAGTGTAACTACGCATGAAAAACAACCATTTTTAAAAAAACATCCTGATCTGATGATTGGGATAATGCACCCACCGTTCATTTGATTGCCATATCTTGTCTAATGATTCTGTACATGTTTAGTCTTCTTATTTTGTGTACTTTAGCATTCCACACAAATTACATTGTTTTGTAGGTTTGAGACTGATGAAGCTGTTCTACAGAGGCGGCAGAAGCAACTAGACTATGGCAAAAACACAGCTGGCTACAGGCGATATTGTCAACAGGTACCCAAGTAAGCACAATATAATGTATTTTATATCCTTTCGGTTTGTCTTTTTTTTTTTCTCCAGCGCCTCCCCCTTCAATGCATAGATCCACAGAGTGTGGATAGGAGTGTATAAGCCTTGTTGGGGGAGAGGGTGGAGTTTGGGTGCTTTTTAAAAGTATATTTTAACACTAATGTTAAACAAAACTTGACTTGTGTAGCAAGGTCTGAATTTGGGAAATCATGTTGAATGATGTAGGATACAACAGATGGGACTTGTACATAACATTGTAAAAATCATGCTTTATATTTAACTATTTTTGTTGTCATATTTGGCTTGGTGTTTCCCTCTCTAAGCAGTTGTGCTAGTCACTAGCCACAAATGCTATTCCTTAAAAAAAAAATCCCTTTGTTTAGTCCTGCAGCAATCCTTTTGATCTGCATTCAATAATTCTATGTAACTTGGCAGAGTGAACACCATCCTACCAAGGAATGTCACTGTTCAGAAAGTATTTATATTTTAGGGATGCACCGATATATCGGCCGCCGAAACATATCGGCTGAAAATTGCACTTTTGGCTAAATGCCGAAAGTGCAATTTTCCTGCTGATCGGTGCATCTGTGATTTCTTTCCTCACCGCTGGGCGCTGCTATGTCTCAGCGGGGAGGAGAGAAAGTGATAGCCGAGCGCTGCGGGACAAGAGCGCTGTGAGCGGGCCAGTGTGTCTCTCCCACATCGCTCAGCCACCTATCACAGTGCGGCAGAGCGGTGTGGGGGCGGAGACAGCGCTGTCACAGGAAGCTGGGCTCTCCTCTCGCACCGCTCGCTCAGCCTCCTGTGACAGTGTGTCAGAGACTAGGAGAGCAGGCTACATACACTCGGCGATCAGTGATTGCTGAGTGTAGATAATTGAGGACATGGTATCTTAATATATCAATTATGAATGAATGGGAGTGATCTACATCACGTCCTGTTCAGTCATAGTTGTGGTTATAGTAATCATACTATATTCTCATGTTATCAATGAACAGGAACACTTAGTATAGAGGATTCCTGTTCATTGTTAACAGGGGATACAGAAAGATTGAGGACTATCAGTCCTTTTTCTATTTTAAAAGAGAAATATCAGGGGTCTGTATAGATATTTCCCCGAAGCCCCTAAAAGTAATGTAAAAAATACAAATATTTAAAAAATGAATTAATAAATACAGATAAAAAAAATTTAAGTTTATAAAAAATAAATTAAATATTTTTTTTTAAAATGAAAATAAACATTTTCGGTATTGGTTTCGGCCTGACAATTTTTTTCGGTTTCAAAATTTCTTTTTCGCTGCACCTCTAGTATATTTTTCACAAATCTTACCACAAAGTTTAAAAAATAGTTGCTAGCAACTTTCAAACAATGCTGTGTTGCTGTCTTATTGAAAGAGCTTCAACGGATGGCTAAAGGTGCTCATACACCTTACGATTATCGTACGATAATCGTATGCGATCATGTTTTCGTCCGATAATCGCAAGGTTGATGTGCAGTGTACAACCGCAAATACTGTACAATAGTACGACTTTTGACTTTCAAGCAGGTTTGAAAACTTTGGTCGAACGTATGATACAATAGTGGTTAGTGGCGTTTCCGTACGTCAAAGCACGTCAAAGCGAAATCGTACGATCTACACTGCTCATGCGCAAACAAAAATAAGTGCGGTCGATTGCCACAATTCCTTCAGGTGCTTTTCTTTAATTACGGCTAATTGAACCTTGCGATAATCGGGGCAGGATGGGCCTGCCGTGCGAAAAGTGTCGTACGATAATCATAAGGTGTATGGCCAGCTATACACAAGTTCAGTGTACGGTCTTACACACCTGGCTTTTACATGGCACAGGAGACCATACTTATGCTGGGCACACACCTTACAACCATCGCAAGACTTTTGTCTTGCGATGGTTATAAGATAATTAAGAAAACATACGATCTGCCTATCTTGGACAGGCAGATCGTACTTGCGATGATCGCAAGCCGCGCCCCCCTGAGGGACTTGTGCACCCCTGCCCGTCCGGCTTTTATCTTACGAACATGCTACACACCTGCCGAACATCGTACAATGCTCGGCGGCTTTTCAAACATGTTCGTAAGTTTAAAGTTGTGCGACCTTACAGTGGTAGAGGTCGCACGGCTTCCACACACCTTACGATAATCGTACGATCGCGGGATTTCCCGCGATTATCGTACGATTATCTTAAGGTGTGGGCGCACCCTTAGAGTGCCAAGAGCATGTGGTCCCTTGCCATATTGATGCCAGAGCTATGCACTGCAGTCGCCTCAAAGGAAGGGCCCCTCAATATTTTTGCTTTCAGTATAGTGCTGGCATGTGTTAGTTGCAGTATCACATGCCTGCTCTACATGTTGGGAAGGGTATATATTCCACTTGCAAATTATTTGTCATGTATTAAATGTTTGTAAGGCAAAGATTTTATATAGAGGGGGGCGTGGCCTGAGCATGGCGGCAGGAGGAAGCTAATCCGCTGAGCTCTGCAGACCGTGGGTGATTTTTTTTTTACAGTTGATCTGCTCTTCACTACCCCGCTGCCCCATGAGGAGGACGGGTAAACAAGTGAAAACCCCACGTACCTTCACCCGGCCACGCTCGCAGGCCCGGATGGACGCTTTTCGTCTCCCCACGAATGTCGGGGCCTAACACGCGCACCCGGTCCCCTACAATGTGCCAGTTACAGGCCAATATCACTGTTAAATGTTGACTTAAAAATCTTCACACGCATCCTGGCCTCACGTTTGCGCCCCTTTGTGGCAGATCTCGTTGACCGTAACCAAGTTGGCTTTGTTCCTGTTAAGGCATACAACCCTTCATGCCATGTACCAATCGGTCTCTCCGTTATGTTGGCGATGCGAAACAGATGTGGGTTCCCTGCTGCATGTCTTCTGGGACTGCCCGAAGGTTCAAACGTTCTGGGTCAGCGTGGCCTCTGCAATAGCGGAGATCACGGGACACGAGCTGCCCTTCACCCCGGCGCTCTATCTTCTCCACCTGGTACCGCTCTCTCGTAGAGCATATAAACGCTCGCTGCTGATACACCTGCTGAATGCGGCTAGAGCCTGCATACCAGCTCTGTGGCGACAGACGCGCTCTCCCTCCGCAACCATGTGGGTGAGGCGGGTGGAGGAGATTAGACTGATGGAGGATTTGACCTCCAGTTTAAGGGAATCGCAGTCCAGGTATGTGGCCACCTGGGGAGCATGGATCCACTTCGGGGGCTCGTCAGCTTTCTCTACAGTGTGCCAGGAAGAAGCCGGAGACTGAGGCACTACCCATTTACACTTTCCCACTGTGTGTGGGTGCGGGGGAGGGGGCGGCTTGGGACCACCGGGGGGTGAGACATCCGTCCACGCTTTCTTTCCCAATCTTTGTGCGTTTCCTTCCGCTTTCTCTTTGTGAGTCCTTGTATGTAAATGTCTTGTCTGTCGTGTATGTGCTGTTTGAGGAGGAACTGGCACGGGCTAGCCTTCCACATATTGGGGCTGTACCCGGCCGCTCGCCTCGACACTATGTTCCCTTCCTGTCCCTGTCTTTGTTTAAGTGTGTTTGTTTGTCATTTATTTTCTCCATAAAATGCCTTAAGGGCGGGGACATGTACGGTTACCTGACCTGATCTTACAGCTTGTTAACATGTTTTAAATATGTTCTTCATTGTCTATGATTCGATATTGTGTGAGACCTTGTGGCCTCCGCTTGTCCTTTTCTATGTACCCCACCCTTTTTGTTCATAAATAAAGAATTAAAAAAAAAAAAAGATTTTATATAGGAAGTAAATACTTTAAAAAACAAACATTAACTGACCCAAAACTATTTCCTGGTTTGTCAGGGCAATATGCAAGTCTAAATGTGCTTAAAAGCAATTCAAGTGGGCTTTTTTTTGTAACATTGGTCAGATATTGAACCTGGTGTATGTTTGTGTGGTTTGCAAAAGACCTGATTACTGCATGGTACACATTTGCATGGAAATACCAGTTTAATGTTGCCTGTTGGACTAACTGTTCTGCAAGCAGGTCCTAAAACCAGGGTCATTCTTGCCATTTCCATTTTATTTCTGTAAAATAAAACCAATATTAGCTGCTCTAATTTTATTGCAAAACTGAAAACCTTTCTTGTGTTTTAATGAAAACGTGCTTTGCCCATTCAAGGCAAAACATGAGGTAGGCTTTAATCACCCGCTCCTCCCCAGAAAATACTTGCTTCCTTTGCTCCCTTGCTGCTCCATTCAGTGAGAACTGAAGTCCTTGGTACCTTTTTTAGGTATGGGCTTATTGCATCTGCCTGCATTCTAAAAAAAAAGGAAGTCCATATTGTGTCCATCAGTGACTCATTGTTTATAGGTGCTTTTCTCCTTTTTAGCTAACCAGAACCTTGTGTGCAAAGCTCAAGTCCACGTTAAGGACAGGGTCCTGAGGCAATTGGCGGGTTTATTATAATGTCTGCTTTTAATGTTTGCACAGATCTGAAAGGGAGCCAGGAATCCACCCTCGTACTCCAAACAAATTTAAGAAATACAGTCGGCGGTCATGGGACATGCAGATAAAACTTTGGAGGCGTGCTCTTCATGCTTGGGATCCCCCTGCCGAGCGGTCATTTGAGTAAGTCTCCCATGCATAGGTTTACCGAGGCCTTGATGACTTGAATGCCCTTTATTTAAAGTGACATTAAAGGCAAAAAAAAATTTTCATCTGTCCCTCCAGCGCTGTGACGTCACTCCGATCCAGCGCTGACTGCCCTGTCTCTCCGATCCAGCGGTGTCTGCAGGCGGGTGCACGCGTCCATAGACTTACCTTGCGTCTCTGCTCGTCTCCCGGCCGAGAATCGGAATTGCGCATGCGCCCGCCCCAAGATCCTTTGCCCGCCCCAAGATCCTTTGCGGCCGTACGAGCAGTTCCTGATTCTCGGCGCGGGAACGAGCGGCGATAACGAGGTAAGTTTTAAATTATTTTAAACGTTTTTGGTTTTTTTTACACTTCTTGCCTATATCTACTGCATGCTAGCAGTAGATATAGGCAAAAACAACCGGAGGGTTTAGAACCCCTTTAAATGTTAAAGGATTCTGGGAACTGCAGTAATGATACAGGGGTGTTGATTGGGTGGTATTAGGACCCAGGGCACCAAGATAAAATATAGTGTGTGTGAAGGGCAGTGTTTTAAAATGTGGGTGTGTTTAGGAGGCATGGCAAGTGTGTGTCTTTGCAATGGTCACTCCAAATTCTTTCGGCTAGCAGGCAAAAAGTGATGGTCTTGGAAACTCAAGTACTGTTGTCGGTTTAACTTATTTAACTCCACTACAGTGTACAGTCTGTTGATAAACATGTAGTGTGAAAATGGAACATAATAAACATTTGGAATGGATTGTTGGCTTTAGAGAACAGTACTTTTTTGTGATAAACACTTCTACATTTCTGGTCCACCCAATCTGAAGCTTTCAAATCAATAATCGGCCTTGCCCATATTTTGTGGCACACTAGTGTAGTTTTTGTAACTGTTTAAAAAAAAAGGGGGGTGAAGGAAAGGTAGGGAAGACAGTGATGTGACAATGGATAAGAATAGAAAATAAACATTGACAGCCTCAAGTGAGTTATTTGGATACAGCCGACAAGTAATTGAAGGTACACTAGGTAGACTTGTGGTGGACTTGAGATCTTTTTATATAGACCAGGGTGTTTCTATCTAGAGTTTAAACTGCAGTCACGTTATTGGTCTCAGACTTTATGAAATGCAAGGGCAATTTATCCTTCCTTACATATAAACCAGATTATTCCATAGGTGGTTAAGTATCTACTGGGACATGATTTGGGAAGGTGGTGGGTTCATTCATTTATTACCTATGGCCTTACAGGCCTTGTTTCTCATTGAAATCTGTCATGTAATGTGGCCAACATTCTTTATCTAATAGCCCAAATAAGCAAATTTCTGGTGTACACAAGATACAGAGGCATAGAAGATTAGCAAAAGGCAGTCACTTACTCTAAAACAACTGGATCATCAACCTCCAGAAATCTGCTCGATCAGACTCCAGAGTGTTCTCCCACAGAAGATTCTGTCGCTTTGTTCACATGCCTGGACCCTCTGGTCCAACAGCCTGATGGTGGCCTCCTTTTTTGAGGCATTTGTGTGCCCAGTCCCACTGCAAGTTGCTGCAGGTCAGCAATTTTTACTGTGTAGAAAAAGGAGTCCGTCTCTGGATTTCTCTATATGCCTGACCAGCAAGGCCAGGATCTCATTGATTACCAACTTGGTGCTGGAGTTGGGGAAATAATTCCTTCCAGTGTGTTGGAGGAACCTCACAATGGAAGGCAGCCTGTTAGGCAGGGGAGGAGGTCTGGATACTGTTATTCCCTCAGTGTCAAAGTCCCTTGATCTGTTAACTTCTGATTAACATTCTGGAACTCTAAGCCATTTGCCTGACCCTTCAGAAAAGTGTCCCAAATCTGTGTCAGACAACACCATGGCTGTGCCCTGCATCAATCATCAGGGAGGCACCAGAAGTTGTGCAGACCAGATTCTGGCTTGGGTGGAACTTCATGTTTTTACCTTGGCAGACAGATTTTTGTTTTTGCTCTCTGGATTCCAAAGAATGGTCTATTTACCCCAAAGTCTTTCCAGACATCTGCTGCATTGATGTGAAGTGGTTGCTCACATTATGCCCTCCTAGCAACCATGGGATCTCAATCATCTGGTTCTGTCTGCCCTTCAGGGGCAGCTCTTCAGACCCATCATGGCTTTTCCCTTCCCTAATCTAACTTGTAAGGTTGCCTTCCTTGTGGCTGTCATTTTAACCACACTCTGTAAGGAGCCCTTTCTAATTGTATACAAGGATAAGTTTGTTCTGAAGCCTGAGCCTTTGTTCTCACCAAGGTGGTCTCTTCCTTCCACCTTAACCAGGGCATTACCCTTCAAAAATATATTTTGAGGGGAGGGAGGACAGAGTTCCTCCCTTCACTGTTAACGTGCACTCTACCAGATCTGTTGGTGCTTCTTAAGCTTTTCAGCATCAGCCATCACCTGGCTTCGTGCAAACGCTTGCGTTTTACCATGTGGATGATCAAGCTGCCTCTGATGCCAGCTTCACGTCTAAAGTGCTTTAGGTTGCTCTGAATTCAGGATCTCCTTTTTTTTTTCCTTTTGCTCTGGCTTTTTGGTGTGAATTGTTGCCCAACCTTCAGCTGAATTGCTTTTGGACATCCTGTGGTTTAGACATCCAGTACCGTACTGTAAGATTATGATGGTAATTTTGACACGGTTCTCTCCCCTCTCATCTAGATCATTCCTAAAGCTGGCCATACACTATACGAATCTCGGCCAGGTTTTTGATTGGCCAGCTGAATTTCGCACAGTGGGTGCTGCTGTCTGCACCCTTTGGACCTCTCGATCAGCAGAACAAAGGAGTGGTTGGAGAATCTTTGGCCGAATGAAGCTTGCAGCCAATCAGCTGTAAACTGCATTCAGGTATTCAGCTGCCAGCACTGCTGGCTGCTGTTGGAATAAAATGATAAACAGTAGCACTTCTGTTATGGTTTTCTGCGTTCAGCCTGCAGGTTGAACAAAGAAAATATAAGTATGGCCAGCTTTATTGCTTCCTTTTAATCTAAGACTAGCTGGGAGTTGAAGGTTATATAGGCTGTCTGAACACCTGCTGCCAGTGTCCAATCACTTTAAGGTAGCTGTATACAGCAGATGTCCAGTCCTATACTGTACTCTGAGAATGAATTTACAGGAAATTCAAAGTTCCTATTTTTGAAAGTGTAAAGTGTAAAAATGGTTATAAATTGTCCACATTTTGCAGAAACACAAAGATCATATTCAGTCAGTTGTGTCTGGGACAAGGGAGGTGAATTTCCCAAAGAGAGGGCTTCAGCCATTCCCTTGTCTGTCCAAAACTAAAATGTAAAGTGATTTTTTTTTTTTGAGAATTTAAAGAACTTGAATTCTCTACCTTTGCATGGGCAACATAAAAAAAATCACGTGCTTTGAAGGTTTGCCTTCACACCCTCTAAGCAGTGATGCTGAAATATCTGCCCCTATTACATCTTCAGGACTTGCAAGCATTCTAGGTAGGGCTGCCAGGTTATTTGCATGCATGGGCAACTTTTGGTGGTGCTGTAAAATCTCTTCCAATTAATCAATGAAAAGTAGTGGTCAGTGACTGATGGGACAAATGGCACTCCCTTCCCTAATCTAACTTGTAATATACACAGTAGCATACTGTACCTGTCCACTTTGCATTGTGCTAATACCCAAACTTTTTTTTTTAGGATTACTATATGAATACCGAGTAGGGCTCCCCTTTGATCTTACTGATGATGATGATGATTTACTGGTCACCACAGTTGTGTCCTTGAGTTATTGTAGCCATTCTGTTGGCTCCAACTGGTGAGGCCATTCACCTTTGATCACACTCAGGGTGTTTCCATCCTTGGAACTGCTGCTCACTGGATGGTGGTTTTGTGTTTTTTTTGTTTTTGCTATTGTGCATGAAAATCATAGGATAGGAAAAGCCCAGCAATTACAGAAATACTCAGACCAGCCCATCTGACACCAACAATCATGCCACAGTCCAAATTACTGAACACATTTGCCCCATTCTGGTGTTTTTGATATGAACACTTAACACTTGCTCCTGACCTGTATCTGCATGATTTGTATGCATAGTGCTGTTACATGATTGGTTGATATATTTACATAAACAGGCTTTCTAGTAAATTGCTCAGTGTATCTGCTATCATGTACTGTATATTCCTCCCATTTTTCCATCAGTTAGTAATTGTCATTCTTCATCAATGACAGCTGTTTTGTTACAGCCTTGGCTCCAGGTAGCATTTGTGTGGGGCAGTAGAGACACTTATTGGTTGCTTTAGCCTGCAAATACTGTAGGTTTGGATAACCAGCCCCCTAACTCTCTCCTGTTACATGTCACCAGTCTCCAAGAAAACCTGTAATTGTCCCCTTCCTGCCTTTTGGTGCTTCCAGCGGCTGCAGCTGATACACTCCATAAGTTGATAACCACTGACTAACCTATGCAGATGTGCAATTTTCTTTGCTCAAACTCAACTTTGAAGAGCTGAGATTTGACTAAAGAAAATCATTCCAAAATGTAATCGAATTTCTTCTCTACGCTATCCTCTACACCAGCCTTACTCAGACAGGGTGCCTCCTGGCTCCCTCAGGGGTGCCTAGAAACACTGACTCTGGTGTGAAAAAGGAGTGCTGATGTGGAGGGGTTTCTGATCTGAAAGAGGGGGGCTCTGAAGTAAATGAAGGGGGAGGGGGAGGCGTCTGATGAAAGGAGCTCTGATGTGAAAAGGAGGGTGCATGTAATTTGAAAGGGAAGGGGTGTCTCTATAAAGGGGCTCCACCTTTCTTTAGGGATGTCCCAATACTGTTATCTGGGCTGATGCAGGGCATTTTCAGGAGTACGTGTACTCCTGAAATTGCACCGATTTCTTAAAGCAGATACTGGTTCTTTACATTTTTGTAAACAAGGTTCCGCACCTGCTGTAGGCCTTAGGTAGTCTGCTGGGGACCTCGCTGTAGCAGTCTTTGACGGCACCGGTCTGGCTCCATCTCCTGCTCATCCTTTCTGTGGACCAGACACTGGCACCACACCACCATACAGCCCTGGAGCCCAGCATGAGAACCCTGGCACCTACCAGCACCTCCCGAAGAGCCCTGCACTCACCCGCAAAGCCCAGAATTCACCAGTACCCTCATGCAGCCCTGGTGAGACCGCACATACTCTGTATAATTGCTGCATAATGAATTGATTTGATCAATGAATATACAGCAATAGAGAATGGCAACTGGCTATAGAGGACTACACATCTTATAAATCCATGATTGCTGATTGCCATTCTCCATTGCTGTATAATCATACATTGATAGGATCTGTAGTCCTCTATTGCTGGTTGCCATTTCCCATTGCTGAATGATCATGGATTGAGTTACAGTTCTTAGTAATTATAAGGGAAATGTCCTTAAATCAATACTGTATTTTAGTAAAGTCATGTCCCTTTAAGAAAAAGTATCAGTAATTGATATCGGAAAGTACTTTTACTTGGTCTTGGAAAAAATGGTATCAGGACATCCCATATATGTATATGTATATGTTTGTATTTTTTTTTTTACATTTTAGACTGTGGTACTAGTCGATCATTGTGACTGATTGAAAATGGTAGAACATGGTTTTCTCATTTTATGTCATTTCAGTCACCCCTAGCCACTACCTTCCCCGAGAGAGATTGAGTGCAGTTTCACCTATTGTAACACTGGCTACCTTTAATATCTTTACTCAACAAGCAAAAACAAACTCATTAAGATTTGAAGCTATAGCCTCTTAGACCACATACATAGTTTTTATAAATATAAGCTTTAGATTTCTGGCTGCATTCTGCAAATGTTTTTTGTTGTTTTGCTTGTTTTTTTAGGCTAAATATAACGTTTACCTGTAATGTAACACTGTTATACTTGCTACTTAGGAAAGAAATGCCATATGATGATGCAAAGAGTTTGCTGGAATCCTGGAGCTCCCTTCAAGGTTTAGAGGATGATGTATTTGACCTACAGGTAGGCCAGATCTTATAATTGATTGCTTAGTAACTGGTACCATATTATGTTTAAAAGTTTCATGAACTTTTAAACATAAAAGTTTCAAAGACTCAGTCTTTGAAAGCCTAACATGTCCAGTACTTATTTTGGCTCAGAACTGGCAGAAAGCACTAGTACACCTAGCTACAGTCCAGAGAAGTCTTATCAGAACTGGTCCTTATGAAGTTGCAACTAAAAAGCAATTCCAGCAAGACTAAATAACTTGCCTATGCATGAAAACAGACTGAGGTGTAGAAAAATGGCTTCTCTGAGCAGGATTGTTGAAATTTAAAATATTTGTACATAGACTGTACAAATGAATGTGGGCAAGCAGCGGGTACATTTATGTTTAAGGTTCTCTGCGGGGCCACAGTTCTGTAAGTAG